TGCTGAAGAGTCAATGAGCCGATGCAATCAGCTGGTTTTCCTAAGATAGAAAACTTTTAATTTAGCGATTTACTCTTTAAATCTAATATGATCAAAATTGATTGCCTCTGCGATTTGAAAATTTCGTTTAGTTAAATTGCGACTATATGGCAAATACAAATAAGTGGGAGTGTTGGCCTAGTGGTTAGAGCAGGGCACTTATGTTCTAAGAGGGAGGCAAGTACATGGTTTGATCCCCACATCCTCCACTCTGGGTTGCTGAGCAAGACCCTTAACCCCACACTGCTCCCCAGGCGCCGCACAATGGCAGCCCACTGCTCCCCAAGGGGAGGGGTTAAATGCAGAGAGGGAATTTCTCCAATGAGAGATCAACAATGTTCACACTGGAAAAATATAAATCTAGATAAGTCATTTTTTCTTAAAATAAGTGCATTTGTTCTTGAGGAGATAGAAGAGAAATATTTCCATTGGAACAAGAAAATTTAAACTTAAAATAAGTTAACATAATTGCATTATCTTATTTCAATTGCATAATTATCTTATTATGAGTAAAACTACTCATTCCATTGGCAAACTATCTCATTTACCTACTCAAATTACAGGTAAATACACTTAATTTAGGAAATTTTTACTTATTTCTAGGTCGTTTTTCCAGTGCAATTATTATTATTATTTATTTCCCTGCCCTATCCCAGGTTACTCACAGCCTGATCTGGGGCTGCTGTCTTTTAGTAAATAAAGGGCTCACATGGCAGCATCAACAGGCAGTGTGATAGATTAACTCTGAAGATTGTCTGATTTCTGCAGGTTAACTTGGGGGACGGTGCTTGGGGACTGGGGCAGTATGGGGATCATGTGAAGACCTCAAGTAAAGCTGGCTGAATTTCTGCAGCCTGCAAACCTCTAATGCTACGTTCACACCAGACGCAGCAAAAGCAGCAAAATCGCGTCTGCAGCTTCATTTTTGCTGCTTGTACCAGTTAGTTCTGACGAACGGCTGAAGCAGCTTTGCTGCTCTGGCTACGCGGTGCAAAAGTGTGTCTGACGCGCGTTGGGCGGAGCTTCACCATCCTTACATATTCTGCCGGCAGATTTCTGCATTTTAAGTTAATTTAGGCGTCAATAAACTGTTTAAGAGGAGTGGTCATAGCGCTCTGATCATCAGTGCTGTGTCTCTCTCCCTGCCAGCTCCCAGATAAGCTTTTCTGATTGGTTGACGCGGCGCGTCGAGCAGCAAAAATTAAATTTTTCCATCTCGAGCAGCAGCGCGTTTGCGGTGCGTCAGATACTTAAACGCGCCCGATGCGCTGCTTCAGCTGCTCAAAACGCGCCGTGGGACCTTTTGCTGCGCCTTGACGCGCGTCAACCATTGACTTGGCATGGAAACTCGCTGCTTCTGTCGCGCCAGCTGCGTCCGGTGTAAACACAGCATAACTCAGCTCCACAAAAACTGGTGCTCCTCTAGGCTGTAACCACCAGAAGGTGCAGGTGAGAAGCAAACTGCTGTACCACATGCATGGAAGCACTCTGTATGGACCTGGAAACAAGAACAATGGATGGAGGAAGGAAATGATGCTGGGCTGAGTTTGAGCAACACCTCACTACAGTCGGAAGATGGTGGTGAGGTGTTGCTGCCTGTTTGCTGCTGCAAACACTGACTAAATGATGAAAACACAAACGTATTTCCATCTTTCCACAAACACTGCACCAATAAACTGGGGGTTTGCATAAACACCAACTAAAGGCCTTGCTTTAAACACAGAAACATTGAATCTGACAGGAACAGGATGTTGGAAAACAACCTCAAACAAACTGCTGCTAAAGAACACAAAGACGACGCAAAAAAGAATCTCAGCCAAGAGAAAACAGGTCTGGGATTGAAATGCTTAGGGAGGACCGTGCATCGACTTCCATTCATTTTCATCTTTTATTTACAGCCTTACAGGATACATCTGACCCTAACTCTAAACCTGAATCTGACCCTAAGCCTGACCCTGAATCTAAACATGAATCTGACCCTNTGAATCTGACCCTAAGCCTGACCCTGAATCTAAACATGAATCTGACCCTAAATCTAAACCTGAATCTGACCCTGAATTTAACCCTAACTCTAAACCTGAATCTGACCCTAAGCCTGATCCTGAATCTAACTATGAATCTGACCCTAAACCTGACCCTGAATCTAAACATGAATCTGACCCTAAGCCTGACCCTGAATCTAAACATGAATCTGACCCTGAATCTGACCCTAAATCTAAACCTTAATCTGACCCTGAATCTAACCCTAACTCTAAACCTGAATCTGACCCTAAGCCTGATCCTGAATCTAAACATGAATCTGACCCTAAGCCTGACCCTGAATCTAAACATGAATCTGACCCTGAATCTGACCCTAAATCTAAACCTGAATCTGACCCTGAATCTAACCCTAACTCTAAACCTGAATCTGACCCTAAGCCTGATCCTAACTCTAAACCTGAATCTGACCCTAAGCCTGAACCTGAATCTAAACATGAATCTGACCCTGGATCTGACCCTAAGCCTGACCCTGGATCTAAACCTGAATCTGACCCTGGATCTAAACCTATATCTGACCCTAACTCTAAACCTGAATCTGACCCTAAGCCTGACCCTAAATCTAAACCTGAATTTGGCCCTAAGCCTGACCCTGGATCTAAACCTGAATCTGACCCTAAGCCTGACCCTGAATCTGACCCTAAGCCTGACCCTACACAACGGGTAAAACACGGGTCACTTGTTTGGGAACATAGAAGAGCAACAGGAACCTCCAGATGGGTGTTGAGCTCCAAACCCAGTCTGCCGCATCTGCTGTTGAGCAACTTTAATTTTAGACAGTTTCACAGAAAATAAACAGGAGGAAATATTCAACTGAACATAGAAAATGTTAATAGAAGGAAAAACAAACTGGTCTTCTTACCTTCTGCTGACCCATCTTCTGTCCGTCCAGGTCAACGTCCCTCACTGGTTCTGCTTCCGGGGATCCTGGGGACCCCTCCTCTGGCTTAGAGTCAGCTACGACCTCAGAGGAAGCGAGGGGAGACGCAGGGGAGGAGGGGGGCGCAGAGGAGGCACTGTGATGGTGGGGCGACAAAGGGTCGGAGGGCGTCCTCTCAGCAGGGGGAGCTGCTCCGTCTCCCCGGAGGCACAGGGTCTCCTGTCGCAGTGCCTCGTTCTCGGCGGCGAGCTCCTGCCGCTCCCTCCGGACCCCGGTGAGCTCCTTGGTCAGGATGTCCAGCCGCTGCCTCAGCTGCCGGATCTCGTCCCGGGCTCGGTTCCGCTCAGCACGGACCTGTCAAAGACCAGCAGTCAGCTGAAGGCCTGATATCCGTCAGGATGGCTTCTACCAACAGGCTGTCTCCACCCACCTTACTCCATTTCTCCCTCCAGTTGGCCGTACAGTCGGACCACCACCTCATGGTCTTCTCCATCTGCGCTGCCCTGGCCCGAGCTTCCTCCAGCTCCCTGAGCCTCAGCTCCTCTCTGGTTTCCCAGTCCCCCCCTGCTGCCTCTCCCAGAGAACCCAGGCCGAGGCCTCCCAGTCCAGGGGACAGCAGCAGCGGGGGGCTGGAGCTGGGCGTTGTGGGGCTGGGAGTGTGAGCCAGGCTGTCCGGAGAGCGGACCCCTCTGTCTGACCCCAGACCCATGCTGCAGAGGAGGCTGCCTCCGGCCGACTTGCCGCCGTCAGACAGGTGGGGGCTGGGGGTGTGGTTCATAATGAGGAGGCTGAGCGCAACGCGGAACGAAGGAACGTTGTCGTCGGCGCTGCGCCTCAGGCGGGCATTCCTGGTCCGTCAGAGACCTGGAGAGAGAAGCGTAGAACAGTCAGATTTGAACCTGAAACCGCTCCCTATGGAGTTGAAGACACTGGCCTGAGCGCCGCTGGTTCTGATGGGTCACAGCAGCGTCTCTATGGTCTCTGTTATTTCTGCAGAACGTAGACTAAACAAAAGCTGCAGCTCATCTTGGACTGCTTACAGACTGGTGGGGTCAGGAGCCATTTCTCCTTTTCAGATCAGACCAACCAGACCGTCCAACCGTAATGGACCAACATGCAGCTCATTAGTTTATCCCTTAAGTCTTGTATCAAAAATAGACTTTTAACCACCTCAATGGGTGTGCATCCCTTTAGTCGTGTACAAAAGAAACCTTTCGAAGCGTATGGTGATCTGACCTTATATTGAGGTGGTTAAACGTCTATGTTTCATACAAGACTAAAGGGATAAACTCAAATCTGGCGTCTTGCTCATGTGTATTGACTATGGGTATGCTGGTCTGACTGAACACCGGCTTCAGCCCTCGTTCAGGTCCTTCTATGCAGAACATTCTGGTCATGACCTTACTACCTTCGGTCTCTGACCAGTTTCAGCCAGTCGCTCCTCTGAAGCTGCTGAGGAATGATCTGCTCAGTTTAGGAACCGTCCTAAACAGGTTTGGTTTGTTGTGGACGTTCCGAAAGGTTGATTTTATTCCTGATGGATGCTAGTCATCCTATTTTCCCTTCCTTCAAAGGGCCTATTTGATGGTAAATTATTATAATTTGAGCTTCTGACTGATAGACCTCAGTAATCCTCATGGATTCTGCGTTCTGACCGGCAGCCCCTCCTGGGTTCCATCATTGATCTACCCAGAGCACAGATCTGCCCCCCTGCTGGTCCCCGGGGCCCCGATCATGCCTGCTTTCAGCTTCAGCAGGTCTTCTTTACCGCATTGAAGGCATTGCTTTAATGCAATACTGTTAAGGGCCGTGTAGCTTTCCTCAGAAGTGTGTCGCAATTAGCATGTCGCTGTCGCAGGTATGATGTAGATAGTTTTGATTTATGCCCAATGCTGAAGCGTGGTCTGCGCTATGTTATTCCACGCCTCAATGCAAGAGGGCAAATCAGGAACTAGTTAGGGTTGTGGGTGTCTCTGTTTCAGTTTGACGAGTTTTGTTCGCCGTCTACAACCCCTCATCCAACACCGGACGACACACAGTTCACCCGTGAGTGTTCCCTAAAGACTGGCCGTGGCAGTGCGTGTTTTGGCTTTGGGTGCAAACCAACAGACCGTCGCAAGTGTCCGAGGTGTGCCAGGCATTATAGACGGAACTACAGCGAGAGATTCTGCCATTCTTGGTACCAAACAGGAAATACGCATAGTGTAAAGCGGATGTAGAACTGACCAATCAGAGGCCTCCAGTCACCTACAATTTTGGAGAGGTGCAGCAGAGTGTCTGTTGTTTCTGAACATAAACCAGGCTTTAGTGGAAACAAACTGGCTAGAGAAAGTTCAGGCAAACCTAAAGGATCAATGTATCTCTATCTGACCAGACAGCAGCAGGTTTTTGTTTAAAGCATCTGAGTGTGTGGTGGCATAATGACTCGGGGAGTTAGGGAGTACATGAAAACCCTGCGTTGCCTGTCGGGGCTGAGAAATCTGGAGGAAAACCACTCCCTCTGGTTGAGCAGTCAGTGCCAAGAAAAGCTGGGCTCCTTTCTGCCTGCGGCCCAGTCCACTGCCTCCCAGAACCATGGGGGACTTCCTGAGGCTCTGTGGGACCAAGTCAGTGGTATGGGAGGGGGAATGGAGCTGGGTTGGTGCTGTGGTGTGGAGCTTTATTAGGATACAGGAGGCAACACGATGAATTATAGACCCATTTCATACCATGGTGCAATCTGCAGGTAACACAGAACCAGGGAGGGTTCTCTGAAACATCTGATACAGAGGAAGTTCTTACTATTATTTGATTAATGAGGTCAATTTGAGATTTGTTCTTAAGAGTAAAAGCTCATCTAAGCTGTTGGCTAGCAACACATTTTAAGCCACATGTACAAACTTTAAGTCAGAGCCTAAGAGGTGAGGGAGTGAAATGAATAAACAGCCGTCCGACAGCCTGCTTCCTGCCCTCACCTCCTCCTAAAAACTAAATCAGACACCCATACCGACACCTTTCCTGATAATCAAATAGATTTCAATTCTGTTTTTATTTTAACACCACATTTAGCTTTGTCGTAATACTATATGTACTATTAAGATAAAGACATATACTGGCACATAAAGCTACATACAGTAAGGTGACCAGATTCATAAAATCCAATCTGGTGTAATTTCCAGCTCATAGATAAAAAGAAATACATATATCAAAATTAAAATACATCAGCATCCTACATGTAGCATGCAGCTACTTATCAGTGCATGCTACATGTAAGTATCCACTGATATGTAGCGACACGTAGCATGCACTGATCTGTAGCGACATGTAGCATGCAGCTACAGATCAGTGCATGCTACATGTAAGTGTCCACTGATATGTAGCGACATGTATCATGCAATGATATGTAGCAACATGTAGCATGCACTGATATGTAGCGACATGTAGCATGCACTGATATGTAGCAACATGTAGTATCCACTGATATGTAGCAACATGTAGCATGCACTGATATGTAGCGACATGTAGCATGCACTGATATGTAGCAACATGTAGTATCCACTGATATGTAGCAACATGTAGCATGCACTGATATGTAGCGACATGTAGCATGCACTGATATGTAGCAACATGTAGTATCC